TAATGTCCATTTACTGTTTGGTCAGATGATAATTGCTTTAACTGTAATCTGTAAACCAGATACAGTATGTGCATGATTTTAAAATTTGCTTTTTGCAAGCAAATATAGTCTATAGATAGGCAAATAGTAATTAAATAACAAAAGTAGACTAAATGTTTATTTGTTGATTAATAAATGTGCAGTAATCTGTCAAGTCTATGGTGAAAAGAATCAACAAAACAACTGTAGACAACAAAAGCAGGTTTAAAAGAGGCATTTAGGGGTACATCATTAGGGTTTTTTTTTTTTTTTTTTCCAGCTGAGGTTTTTCTGCTGAGCTCCTGTGATGATGAGATCATCAGCTGCAGGTGAGGAGCCCCCGCACGTGCTAATCATCAGCTGCTCTACTGGGTGCTTAAGAGGACCAGGACACCGACTACTCTCCGCAGCAGTGTTAACCTAACTGGTAACTATTGAGCCCTCCTGAGCTCCTCGAGATCTCTATGAGTTAGGAACCAGTTTTCATGTTTCTTCAGGTAACCATTCATGTGACTTTACAAGCTGTCAAGCAAAGAGCTTTATCTCTAAAAGATTCTCCTGTGAAGCTGAAGAGAGTAGAACTGCTCCTCTTGGCACCATCTGTCCACCCAGCAGCAGCCTTCAACCTCACAAACAACCTCCACTGGAGGAACTGGTTGATTCTCAGTCACTCTAAGGTTCTTTGCGGAACAACCTCAGCTGAGTGACTGAGTGCTTGAAAGTAAGCAATATTTCCTGCTCACATTCCCGTCTAATTCTATCATGTTTTCCAGAGGACCAGGACCACCAGTTTCTGAATCTACCTTCATCATCCCTACACTGTTATTTCATAAATCTGTTAAACCTGCCTTCTTGAGTTGTCTGAGAGGTTTATATCTGCATGTGGGTCAGAAGCATGAACAAAACTATGACAATCATTGCCTTCTTAATTCTACATAAAGTCCCTGTTAAAGCTACATCAGAATTCAGATGCAATAAAGCTTAGAGTGGTCCTAACCCAAGTTAGTTGTCTAATATGCTCATACAGTCATATAAAAAGGTTTGGGCACCCCTGTTACTCTTAATAATTTTTTTTTTCCAAATGCTTTTTACTTTACTGAATTAACTCATTATTTTATGGTTTAAGTAATTCAGTTTCATTTCTTTATCATAGGATATATTTTATTTTATAAATCTGTTTATGAGTAAATTAGTAACTTTTTTGTTATTTATTTTCCTTTGATTAAGTTTTTGTCTATCATTTCAAATTCATATTAGACTAAAGGAAATGATAAAACTTAATGGGTTCATTTTGTTTTGATATTATATATTAAAACATCTATACATTAATGTACTTTAATGTATAGAATTAATATATATAACTTATTTTCATTCTCCCTTTTGTCAAAAAGGGAGAATGAAGGAATCGCTTCTCTCCATTTCCATTTCAATCAGAATAAAACTACTACAGTAACATTTTTTATTACAAAGAAATGTCATTAAAATAAATCTTTTAGGTTCAAAAAGTTTATTTCCTCAGTTTTAATCAACTATTTTGTGGTATGTTTAATTAGGAATTTTAAAATTAAAATGTGATCAACTGATCCCAATTATTCTGTTTATTCAAATATTTTAATGAAGTTACAACTCAACCATTTATTGTTTAATGAAGCGACTTACAAATACATTTATTACTTCTGTAAACAAAGACATACATTTCTTAACATTTTAATTTTAACTCAGTTATGTTGTTAACGAAGTTAAACAATTAGCATCCTAACATTTGACATAGTGTAGTTTCAGTCACAGTTCTATATCTATTTCATTGTTTATACCTCCTTTAGGTGTTTTTGAACCTAAACTGAGACTATTTAATGTGGAAATTAAATGGTCACATCAAACCACCCACAATAATATTCTGTATTGCTGGGATTTACTGTCATTGAATTGAACTACTGTAGAAATATGCACATGCTGCCTTGCTCTAAAAGACAGCAGAAAATCGGTAGAAGTTCCTGCATGTTACCCTGGCTGTGATCTCCCACCATGCTTTTATTCAAATGTCACCTCTTTAATGTACTCACAAAGAGCAGAGTTTCAGTTCAACCTAAACAACGGCACAAATGAAAAACCTTTTAGAAATTTCTGTAGTGCCGTATGAATATAATCCTCTGCTCATTTGTCATAAAAGCCTGTTTTAATGCACCCCAGGCATTTCCATTGAATAAAAATGAGATACAGCATTTTGTTTTAATGAATTCCAAGATGGCAGCATTAGATGTCAAGATACATACATCTTGTTGAAGTGTTCAGAAAACTTAGAAGCCGTGAATTCTAACCATCAAACTAAGCAATTCATTTGTAATAACAGTAATGCCATTTAGATTACAGATTTATGTTTTGTGTCTGACTGGCCTCACTTGGGGGCTGTTCTTGTTTGACTAAAAAGAAAAGAACTTTGCAAAGTACTTCTATTGATCAGATATTATGAAAAAGTGCGGAATGACAGAATATCCCAGAAGAACAAGCTGAATGAAACAGCCGAGACTGACCCCTCAGCATGTGCAACTTAAATCTCAAGCATTTTCCAGACCAGTGGCTGCAATCGCTTTAGGTAGGCAGAAAGAAGTCACTGATGCATTTTATACCATAAGCACTTACATTTAAGACAGTGTAGAGTGTCATTGCATGCTTTTTCTACATTGGTAACAGAATCCATGTAGTAGGAGCAGATTAAAGGGTAATATATATAAGATAAGGGCATTGAAATAGATTATTCTTAAAGTTTTGTTAACAGTGAAAATATGTGTTTTATTATATTTATGCATCAAAATCATCATTTAAATAATCTTTTTAACGAAATAGGTAAATCTTGACTAAAGCCCAGCATAAAATGTCCAAAGTGTACGCTTTAGTTGGGCTCTTAGCTTTAAGATTTTATCACTTTTAAAGCCTTGAATCCCACACATCCAACAATCTGTTCTCCTAAAACGCTGTGGGCACTAAGTAAAAGAAACCAACTCACTAATTGCTTCATTGTTGCTGCCTCTGTTGACATTTGGAAAAATATTACAGCACCAAAGGGCATGCAATCAAAAAGCTTTTACAGCTAGGATAAGTCTCTTGCCTCACACTGTGAGATCTTTATTCCTGTGATTCTTAGGCATAATTCCATAACAAAAAAGGTTTTTCATGTTATTCATGGAAAACAGGGTAGAAAAAAACTACAAAACCCTCCAAATCTTAAGCAGCTTAGACACAAGTGGATGTAATGGACGATGAGAAGGGTTTCTTTGCGGCTGAGGGGAAAATTTAAGATTCTCTTGGATCAAAATGTGTAAATGACAAAAACACCCTGAGCTTTAGCTGTCTCACTCAAAATCAAAGCAGCCCGTCCTGATGCTTCCCTCTAGTGTATACAGTACCTGGTGTTTCTGCCAGCTCCTGGATCCAAAGCCTTCCACTGAGACAAAAATATAGCAGGAGCCTCCTGATTATGATGGTTCACATTATTTAAGTCTGACAAGCCTGGTCTTCAAGCACTGAATGACTCAAAAAGGTAGGAAGAGCCATATTTTTGGATCAGTGATATAAGAAAATAATATGTTGATTAGTTAATTGAAATGTGACTCATTACCTGAGCAAACAAAACATGGACTATTATTTTATCTGCAAAATTGAAAGGAATAATGTGTTTTAGGTTGATGTAACCCCTTAATGCACCATGTGTGATAACCTGATATGCTGTTAATCAACTCTAGGCAATTCAATTGAATTCAATTCAGTTTATTTACCGGTATATAGCTCCAATTCACAACACAAGTCATCTCAAGGCACTTTACAGTTCAACCAGATCATGAAAAATGGCAATATCTCAGCTAGAAAGGATCTTTTTAATAAGCGCGCAATTATTAATCATAAATTTTTTAGTTAAAGTAACTCAAAAAGTGTTAAAGATTTTTGATAAATTAAGAGTAAACACTACTAAGCCATTTCTTAAAGAGACTTCACATTACTAATAAAACTTAAACACTTACTTAAACACACACAATCTACTAACCTAACTTCATAGGATTCTAAACCATCCATTTTTTCTCTCACGCTTCATCCCAAAGGGGTCGCAAGGGGTGCTGGTTCCTACCTCCGGCTGTCTACAGGCAAGAGGCGGGATACAACCCTGGACAGGTCGCGAGTTCATCGCAGGGCAACACAGAGACAAATAACACCTAAGGAGAATTTAGAGAAGCCAATAAACCTAACAGTCATGTTTTAGGACTGTGGGAGGAAGCCGGAGTACCTGGAGAGAACCCATACATGCACATGGACCACTGAGCAGGTATAGCATTCTAAATCTTAATGTTACAAATATATAAAGGGTTGTTGTAAAGGTAGGCATGGGTTGTGGACCTCATCCATCCATCCATTTTCTTACACGCTTATCACAAGTGGGGTCGCGAAAGTTGCTGGTGCCTATCTCCAGCTGTCTACAGGCGATTGGCGGGGTCCACCCTGGACAGGTCGCCAGTCCATCACAGGGCAACACAGAGACAAACAGGACAAACAACCATTCACGCACACACTCACACCTAAGGAGAATTTAGAGAAGCCAATTAACCCAACAGTCATGTTTTTGGACTGTGGGAGGAAGCCGGAGTACCCTGAGAGAACCCACGCATGCTTAGGGAGAACATGCAAACTTCATGCTAAAAGACCCCTGTCCAGGAATCTAACCCAGGACCTTCTTGCTGCAAGGCAGCAGTGCAACCATCTGCGCCACTGAGCAGGTTTAGCATTCTAAATCCTATGTTACAAATATATAAAGGGTTGTTGTGAAGGTGGGGATGTGCTGTAGACCTCATACATATTTGTTTGATTTTCTGAAATGCTGTTTTGTTCAAATCTGAGAGCTAGACCAGCAAAGGGATACTAATAAAAGTTATAGTTTTGGATTTGACAGTGTGAACTTTAGTGAGACTCTTGATGAGGTGTTGATAGGAACCTACCTGTTGTTGAGCAGAGCCAGGAGCTCTCCCACATAGAACAAGTCGTTTCGGCTCAGCCTGCTAAAGCGGAACGCGTTCAGGTTGCAGAATGTCACCGCCGGGAACGTCATGACCGGAGTGGACACCTCGTCCAGCTTGGTAACATGGGGATACTCGAGGTAGAAGTGGATCCGATCCACGCACACGTAGATCAGGAAAGTCAGCGAGGCCAGGAAGAAAACGAGCCACAGGAAACGTTTGAAACAGAAGCGCTCATAAGTGAAGATGTGGGAGATTCCGTGCAGGGTGGAACTGTGAGCAAAAACTTCTATTTGAGGAGGCTGGCTGGAGTCCAGTTCTTCTGTCTCCACTTTCAGATCCATCGTTGACATATGAGTGTTTTAGTGCATCAGGCAGGAAAGTGTTCATTCAGCAGTGAGGAGCTCTTCCTTCATCCCAGCGCGCAGAGGACCAGTCTCTGACCTGATGCAGTTCTGTCGCCATCACTTACCCAGCTCTGCATTTAACCAAACCATTTCTGCTGCCAGAGCCCGGGTGCATCTCCACAGCGCCACAGTCTTGATCTGCTGTTTTGTCAGTAGCAGTAGAGAAGTATTGAATCGCTGGTTGATTATAAGTACAGCGGAGCGCAGATTAACAAACTGGAATCTCAGAGCGCTGAGGCAGAAAGGAATATATTTGTACAATTCAGATCATTTAGCAGGAGTTGCTCCGCTGCCCCTTCTACCCGATAAATAAGGCTAAATGGGGGATCCATCCACTCCGGTGCGGTGCTGAGGAGTCGCTGGTCGATGCTGAGGTTGGGATCCTCTGCTGCTGCGCGCGTCAGTCTGAGAGCAGGACTGACGCTCCTCTGCTGCTCACCTGTCACTTCAGCTTTTTATGGCTGCTAGACACATGGCTGCACCAGCAGCTTCAGAAACAAATATTAACACAATTTATACTACATTTACTTTTATCATATTGTATGATTTTCCATAGAGCTGCATGGATATTAATCTCATTAGAAAAGAAAATGCATTCACGATTTAGAATGCTTAAAATGTGTAATCTATATGCGTAAAATGGATGCCTTCAGCTTGGCACGCGTGGCTTGGCTTAAAATAGGGTCATTTATTCCACGAAGATAATTAACAATGAAAATAGGGAGGAGGAGCATTTACAGTACTTGAAAGAAGCGAATCATTTTAATGTGCGAGATTAATCTCGTAAAGTTTTGTGTTTTTTATGGAGCGCCTGAACGGCAAGTAGAATTTTTAAAATCATTTCCAGCCCCTATGCAATATACCATCACGTTTATACAATATAATTAGCAAAAGCTTATTTTCTCAAGTGACAGCAATACGCTTCCATAGTTTTATTTATTTATTTGAAAGGCTTATTTTCTAAACAAATTATACTGTAATACCTTTCTCTACCACTAGACGCACTGGGGGGGAAACCACGGGCACGCACTAAGACCTGTATTTGTACAATTAAAGTCAAAGGGTTGGTTTCCTAATATTCCAGTTACTCATTAAATGAGCTTTTTTTTTTTATAAAATAAAATAAAATACAATGGAAGCACATAAACTGTTTATATGTTGTCCATGCTTTCTTGTTATGATGCAAAGCTTGTGTTCATGTGTAATACAGAATAAGTCTGGGTTCATTTCTCTTTTGTAATTTTTTAATGGTGAAATAAATTTTCATCCTCTAAAAAGGCTTTAAATGGATTGAATTCATATAAGAACATAAGGAGGATTAATTATAATCAGTATTAAAAAAGGGAAATAACTGATAAGTAATTTCTACTCTTAAAGGATGGACAATCGGAGGTGACCATCTTTGATCCTCTTATTTTTTTTATTTTCTCCTACTTAACACCACAATCGATATACATTTTAACCCAAGCTGGGCATTCTTGTGTATTTTAGAATAGCCCAGTCTTTGTTTTCCTAAAAGTGCTTCAGAAATGTACAGGTAGATGTCTCACTGGAACAATAGAAAAAAACAACAACATATAAATCCCTCCTGTCATAGCATGGCACCAAAAGGCTCAATGTTAAACATAGAAAAGGTTTTGAAATAGGCCTGGTTTTCAATATATACTAGAGTCTGTCCTGTCAATATTGTTGGAGCTCTTCCAAAGGGCCCCGGAGACCTTCCACACCTGAGTGTTGAAACGTTGAAATGTTTTAATTCATTGCTACTAACAATGAATACAGAGGAATTCTATCCATCCATCCATCCATCCATCCATCCATCCATCCATCCATCCATCCATCCATCCATCCATCCATCCATCCATCCATCCATCCATCCATGCATCCATCCATCCATCAGGGTCACAGGGGCTTGGTGCCTTTTTCCAGCAGTCTATGAGCAAAGGCCTAGGAGAAGTCACTAGTCCATCTCAGGTGAGAAGTAATTTGTGCATTAAAAACATGTTGCATCATTACATGCTAAACTTGGTGTTTTTACACAAAGAGCTTTCTCTGGTATATCAATTATGAAGCTGCTGCTCTGATTGCAGCTAAGTATAAAAGAAGAGAACAACAACAAAAAGATGTGTGAGCCATAGCCAAGTTAAGAGATCACAATTTAACATTTAACCAAAGGAAACAGAATAAGATTTTTTAAGTGCTAGAATTTTTTCAAACAGACAAGCTGCAATATACATTATCTTTATGATTTTTTAAGAGCTTATATATAGTTGGAGAATAAGATTGATGTTGTATAATACAATTATTTTTGTCTCTTCCTAAAGAGCTAAAATTGAAAAAGTGGGATGCAAAAAAAAAAGGTGGTTCCTGAGAGATTTTCAGAACTAAAAAAACGTGATAGCGGCCCAGCAAAACATTATTTATTACTGCCATGTTTGAATTATAACCATAAATTACCAAATATATCTAGTTTCTAGTCTGATACAAGCATTTCATGTAACAGTAGTTTTACACAAAGTAAAATGAAGCACATCTATTGGAACATAATAAGTGAGAAAATGTGTGTCACCCTCTTAGAATATGTCAGCTTTAAAAGCAAACACTTATTTGTTTTACTGATAGTTTTAGCATTTTGCCTTTTCTCTTTAAGTTGAGGTTGGTGCTGTTCTTTATACTCATTGAATAGAATAGAACAGAATGGAATATAATAGAATAGAAAATCCCTAATTCTCCCACATTGGGGAAATTCTGGTGCTTACAGCAGCAAAAAGATTATAGAAAAAAAATTGTCAAACAACTGTGGACCATAGTATAGAAAACAATAAAACTGTGGACCTGCATACTATAAACTGTTGAAAATGAGCTGCAAGTGACAAGCTTTGAACAAGTTCAATATAAACTAAGGCGAATCTTTTCTCACATATTACTGTTTTCAAGCACACTATTTCCTTATATAAATGCATATATTTCTTAATTTTTTTAATGTAACTATTTTAGTTGTTTTTTGTATTACATTTTTCAGTAGTGATCTGCTGAGAAAACAGCTATATATATATATATATTTTTTTTTGCATTTTAAACAAGTTTATGGTTTTAACAGGAGTTGTATATCTTTAAAATAGGTCACAATGTTTCTTTTGTGAATTGCTATATTTGTATAACCTCAAACATAAATCAACACATGCTTTGAGGTGAAGGTATGTTGTGGATGTTAATCATGCATGCATGACTAACATACATTAAGATTTGGGGGGGAAATCCCATTTTGAAAATTCTACATACTAATAATCCCAATATATTTCCATAATTTCACCATAGCCTTTAATTTAATGTATATATTTTCCTTTGCCACAAGTAATGTCGTTTCATTTTTTTAGTTCCTTAGTAATTATTCTTTTTTAGATTTAAAAATATTGACTATTATTCGGAATAGTTATTAAGCTTTATAACTTGCCACCCTTACATTCTTTGACGTAAATGTAATTAAATGTCAATTCAAGCACAGTATTTATGAATAACGGCTTCTGTCCATGGTGCTGATGACGTTAATGTAAAATCCCTCTCCAAAGCTGCAGAGGGCGCCAGAGCCCAAACATCGCGACACTTCGCCAGCAGAAGGAGGAGCAACGTGTGAGCAGCTGCAGGAGGAAAAACATGGCGATGCCCGTAAGAATCTGCCCTTTCTTTCGCTGGACAGGACGGATAGTGTCCTCACTTTCTGCAGGACACATTCTGGAAGTCAGTCTGCCAGCGAGGAGGCGCTTTATATCCACCTCAACGGCAATCAGTAGGTTAATGTTTTATGAAAGTTAATTATAAACTGTGTTAACATAGAGGTCAATGTCCGATATTAGGGGCAGCTTAGTCTCATAACAAATAATAAAAGAGATAAAAATCGATGCATATTTAACTCAGAAAATTGGAAAATATCTTCAATCATTTGTTGTTGTATATTACCAAAAAATTTTAAATGAAGATAATGTAGGCTTCATTACAAACTCCAAAGAAAGAAATGCTCCTTAACAATGACTGTAGGTTAACCAGTGTTTAAAAGTATCAAAAATAATTATATAAGTTTATATGAAATCTTGTTAAAGGCAATTTACTGATTAAATATTATATTAAATATCATTATAATATAATATGACTGAGTTTGATTTTTAAATAAGCTTCTTATCATTGACTTGATTTAAGAGCTGTGAAAATAATAATGGTGAAATAATATTTATGATAAAATAATAATAATAATTGTGAGATTCATGTTTAAGAAGAGCCAAAATAAATGGGATTGGATGAATGTGTCACTAAAAACTACCAAACTAATCGTTTTTAGAAATTAATAAAAAAAAAAAAATGGTCTGTGCAGTGAGCTATTTATGTCATTTTTACCTTCTAAATGTTGTCTAAGTTGAAAACCCATCATCACATTGCTTTTGCAAAAAGTAAACTTTATGTGATCATGCTGTGATCCGCTGCTTTAGTAAGATAATACCATAGTTCATAAAGTCTTTTTAATAAGTTGAATTTCATAAACTGTATCTTTTTACCTAATTATATGTATTTATTTATATATCAAGGTATAGACATTTTATTTCTAAATTATAATTAATCAAAAATTAGAAAATAAACCTGCTATGTTTATTTCTAGACCTTCAGTTCAGGCTTGATGAACGCACAGCTCACAGCAGCCTGGACCTCTTCAAGAAAGACACCGGCATCATCTACCGCATGCTTGGCCTGGACCCCTCCCACGTTAAAGAGGACCCCGAGCGATTCCGAGAGTGGGCTGTCGTGTTTGGCGACAAAAAGATAAGCAGCGGACGACACTATTGGGAGGTCACGGTTAAAAAGTCCCAGGAGTTTCGTTTGGGGGTCGCAGATGCACTGATGTCCAGAGACGAGTGTGTGGGTAATAACAGCTCCTCCTGGGTGTTCGGCTATGCTCAGAGGAAGTGGTTCGCCATGACCAACAGTAAGGTGGTTCCTGTGACGCTGGTGGGAAAACCGGATCGAGTGGGGATCCTGCTCGACTATGAAGCAGGGTTCCTGGGGCTGGTGGACATTGAGAAACCCAGAATCATTCACACTATCAAAGCTGAGTTCATGGCTCCTGTGTGCCCCGCATTTGGACTTTGGGACGGGGAACTCCTTACGCATTCTGGTGTGGTAGAGCCAGAAGGCCTGGAATGAAGATGTGTTAACAGATGACTGCCATGGCTTATCAGGACAACTTTATTATTGTCCTAAATAAATGTGCCTGACATGCAGCAATAGGACTTAACTACAGATGATAATTAATACTGTGGTCCACTATATCATCACATCAAATGATGCAAACTCATCCTGTGGTCTTTCTTCAAGACTTGAGCTCTTTTGTACTTGTAATGGAATTCGTCTCAGACACTAGATGAGGAAACAAGAACGTGTGGTTTTCATAATCATTGGCTGCCTATATTTTCTTATGCCTGTTGCCTGTGGTGGTTTTCTCCACACATATACGACATCAAACAGAACAGAACCTCATTCTGTTCAGATTCAAACCATATACTTTTTAATAAAATAACTTCATTGAAGTCTTCCACATTTTCTTTTTTTATTTACAGCAAAACATTTACATTAAACAGAAGAATTGTACAAAGATTTTTCAAAAAAACTACTTATTTGTATACACAAAAAGACTCCTAGGTATATTTCAGTTTATCATATTATATATATAATTTAAAATGTATATGTAAGGTGCGTTTGTATAAACTACTAACCCGTATGTCCACATGAATCTAAATATTTTAAGATATACTGCTTAAATGCACAGTTGGATTTTTCTATTAATTTTAATAAGACATATTTCCAGAGATGCACCAATTGGGTTTTTTCGTGGCTGATAGTTGCTTTGGGGTTTCTTTTATGTCTGGCCTGCCGAACCTGATTTTCAGATACTTATACGTTTTTTTATTTCTTTATTTTTTTTTTAAGATTATAAGACTAACGAGCATGAAAAAAATTACACGACCATCACTGTTAATGATCGGAGTCTGTAACCTTTATATTATTTTATTGAATTCAAACTTGGATCGAAGTGTTTGCTGTTAGTTAACATGTTTATAGTCCAAAAAAATTGGAAATTAATATTTTGATTAATGCATTGCTGCATGCAGTGGATCTCAAAGGTACAAACTACCCTTTTTTTAGTGTCCAGATTCTTAACATTAATAGTAAAATCATCATGAATTGTTTTCCAAATAGTTTCTTATTTTTTACACATCCTGTTCAATTCAGTTTAAAAACAAACCAACCTATAGGTGGAAATGCAGAGTAAGACAATATGATAAAATCAATTCGCTGACTGATCTGCTGTGTTTGACCACATGTGGAAATAAACCAGGTATGCTGAACACTATTCTTTTTATCTAAATTCAAATCAAACAACTTTGGAGAAGAACATGATCTTAACTTTTTAATTCTCATCTCCTTTCCTAAAATATATTGCTGTGTTTTTCAGTTGAACTGCATGAAATAAAGATCATATTAAAGATGGGAGTGCAGAAATAATTTATTTTAGAGAATAAATATTTTTTTTTTTTACATTTTAAAAAGGAAGAATCCTAACAGGATATTTAGAGAATCCCTGTATGCCCTGGTCTTTACAAGCAATGAGATACAGGCTAAAACTGGCTGGTTGAATTATTTTTAACAGCAATATTGGCCCAGAATCTCCCAATTGATGCATCCCAATAAACAAATAAAACGACAAAAAAAAAAGGTATAAATCTATAGAGAGTATTAAAATCCTAAACACCACAGTGAGTATTTACATGTCAACAAAAAGAAAATGACAACACAGCTGATTGAGATCAAAACAAGGGGACTGACATGCATGTTATTTGCTCAACAGAACAGGCTTCAGTAGCTTTCCCCCTTTTAAATAAATCCTTAAGGAAGCACCTATGTTTAATTCTCAGAACATACTAATTAAGGCCCTGTTCACACTAGATGAATCTCCTCTACAAATTTAATTACTTCTAAGAAGGTGGTTAGATTACAGCAAAATAAGAAAACCTCTCTCTGTGTGAAGGCAATCAGGAAACAGCTGCAATTAGCAGTCAATTGATTATTTCCTACTATTTTTTGCACTCCTGTACTCTCAGCATGATCTGCAGATCAGCAGCTCATCCCAGTGTTGATCTCATTACATGACATTCCAGACTTTCATCAGGAAGCTGCAGTGCCCTACAGCAGTGATGTCGATCTGGTCCTCGGAGGCCAGTGTCCTACTTGTTTTAGACCGATTCCTGCTGCAAGCAGCTGTTCCAGATGAATGAATGACTTATTCAGCATACCATCAAGCTCCAAGACCTTGCAGCTGTTCCTTTGAAACAGGTTGATGAAATGAAATGATGAAATTCTCCATAAAAGATTTCAAAAGAAGAAGAAGTGGAATATAATAAAATTTTAAACTTAGCCCACTGGTAAGTTTTCAAAAAACCTTAAGGGCACCCCATGTGGTCCTTCGTGAGCCCTGGTCTAGATATTTCTGTCAGTCTCACAGCAACTACCACATCCAAGCTAGTATACAATATGGAACAGGGTACACTTCTCTCTGGATGGGATTCTTCTACTCTTATTTCCTGGATGCTTCTATAGTGATGGAGTTTATAGAATGGAGTTTATTTGTTCCAGAGGTGTGGTGAGTACACAGCAAAAACGATCTAGAAATAAGTTTTAAAAAATCAGAAAATAAAGTGTATTTACACTTAATTTGACTGGGTAAATAAGATGATTTGCCAATGGAAAGAGTATATTTACTCTTAAAATAAGATAATTTAATAGTATGCATTTAAAATAAGACAATGTAATTGTTTTTTCTTATTTTAAATGTCAATTATTTCGCTCCATTTGCAAAGTGTCTCACTTACCTCCTGAAATCAAGAAAAAATTCCCTTATTTTAAGAAAAAATTGCTTATTTAGATTTAAGATTTTTGCAGTCTAGAGACAAAGCAGCGCCACATCCAAGAGCATTGCAGTGACTCATTCAAAGCTTCAATAATTATGTTATCATGGCAAGTCCTGATATAAAATGTCTGAAGACCGAGCCATACAGGTGAATTCTGAACCCACTTTATGTCTATGATAACCTTGCTGTCCTCATTCTGCATTTAAGGTGGCAAAATGCTGCTATCCGGATAAAGAATCAACACAACAGTTTAACTTAGGTTTTGTACAAACTGGAAACACTAATAGCATTTTCTATTAGGAGAATTACTTCATAGTGCACTATAGAAAAAAACTCTTTCCAATACTCTGTTATTGATTTTGAAGTGCTGTACAATGATCTGATCTCAGTGTGAAAGGGGCCAAAGTAAAACATACCTATTTGGATTTCAAAATAAATAAAGCCATTTTCAAATATCTAGATCTTGGTAACATTTACAAGTTACTGATGCACAAAAAAGAATATTACTACTAGTAATATTATTATTTGTCTTACAATTATTTGATTGTCAAATACTAGACATACTAAACCTTTATTCCTGACAGATATGCCATTGCTTTCTAAATACTGGCATACTTAAACTACATTTAAAGAAAAAAACATCCCCTTTTTAAGTTGCTGTACATTCTTAACAATAGTTAAAATCTTTACAGCCTTTGGTTGGAAAAAAAAATTCAGACTCTTCAGTTCCTATACTAAGAGTAGGTCATATTTTTACTAATGACTGGCCATTAGGTTCCTAAATTTTATGATAGACAGAAAATTCATCGGTTGTCTTAGTTACCATCTGTCCCATATTTAATTTCTGCTATGCAGCAGAGGGTTTTCAATCCAAACCTCTATGGTGCTTTTCTTAAACGCTGCTCTTCATTGAGTCCAGCACGGCGCTCTGCTCCTCTGTGCTGATTCTTGAGTGTCCATCTGTGTACTCATGTTGGTACTTTTGCAGGACTGAAACAACAACATCATGGCCAAACTGCATGGCGTCATCGAGGGGTGTGTTGCCCCATCTGATAGACAATGGCGTGAAATGGAAAATGATGGACTGTCATAGTTAGTAAAATGAGTTAGTATCAGATGAACGGTGAGAACTAAACCTACCTGTCTTTAATGTAGGGATTCACTTTACATATTTCTGTCAGAAATATTACAGCATCCTGGTGGCCTGGGAGGAAAATAAGGTGAGCAAAAAGAGCACATTTTAAATGCCGAATTTTTGAGGTTTCTCAATGCAGAAATTAGATAAATGATCAAACTAATGATGTTAGGCGTTACCTTCAGCAGCAGCAACATGGAGAGCAGTACGAGAGTCGTAATCCCTCTGCTCCATGTCAACAGCTGAAAGGGCAAACCTGGAGAGAGGGTATTGCATAGAAATATTACTTACTGTGTACTGCATGTTGAGTTACAAACAAGCTTCAAATGAATATGTAGGATATTTAAAGCTGAAATAATTAGAATAATATCAAAGTAGATTAATAGTCCAGAGATCTTTGCTTTAATTTATCAGTTGGTGTTTCATAATCAACAGCAAAAATCTCTCCACATTCGGTAGGTCATATGGGATATGAAATATGTATCGCGGTAGAAAACAAAAATGACTGGATCAACCTCTGTACACTGTCTTAACCACTCAGCCTGATCAGTGGGAGATTGCTCCTCCCCAAATGTAGGACCAACAGACTATTGAACTCCTTTGTTCCTCCAGCCACCAAGCTGTACAGCTCCTCACTTGGGGTCAGGAGTGGAGCTAGATGGGAGGCCAGGGGTGGCTATGGCCACCATTAGCCAACCGTTGGCCACTTCTGTTGCCATCCCTACCATTTTTTCCTCTCTAATACAGATGGTGGCAGCAGTTATACTCAGAAGTGGAATGTTCCTACTAATTTAACATTTTGTTTTTTCATATGTTAACAGTTACTTGACAACAAAAACACTATGTTTATATATCCACATATATATACTAACATCAAAGATGATACATACAGAATCATGCTCTTTTCAGAACTACATTTTGTCTTATGTGGGGCAAAGAGAAAATTATGTCTGAGTCTTCTGTGAAATCCATTTAATGTAGATATTAGTACATGTAAATATTATTTTATTCAGAACGATAATTGATGAAAGTAGGTAAGTAGTGACAATGAATAAGATGTTTGCCCGAGAACTCAAACCTGAAAGACTTTTTATTCCACTACACCTTTAATTTAAACAGCATGGATTTTTAAATATATGAGTATGTTTGTTTGCAAAGGCTGTAGGAAAGTATAGTTACTCTTTATTTAGAAAATAACATAACAGTGTAGATAGACCCTGAGCTTCTGGCTCCTATCTGCTGTCGGCCACCCCTCAGTGTTCATTGGTTATTGCCTGGCTACCCTTATTAAAATCTTCTGGCTACGCCTTTGCTTGGGGGAAGGAGGAGATGATAGGAAGAGGGACAAGGGTCAACAAGCCCCTCCTTGGACATCTTGTGCAAAACATTACCCATTGTCATTCATGCGCAATATTCTTCTCTCTCACTGTGCAATAACACATGCCAAGTACTGTGCAGTCTGTGTAATTTTTTACTTACAGTATTGATATGGTT